ATCACAAGCATTTTCAAGTTTCTGGCCTGCTGTATTGATATCTTTTAAAAAGTTTCTTTGATTACAAAGTTTTTTTAGAGTTCTTTTAACCCAGTTGTTAAGTTCTCCAAATGAAGTGGTTCCCAATGATCGTCCTTTTATTCAATCATTCTGAGTGTCTCATGACCAAGGGGTTGCTGTAAGGATTCCAGGTAAGCTTGCTTTATGTTAGTATCATCCATTCCACGAATGATATAATAGTGTCTCACAGCATTGTGAAAATGTTTATCCAAATCTTTAGGATTGTAGGAACAAAATTTTAGTTTGAAGAATTCTTCTCTTGCAACATTCTTCAAATGATTTGTTTTTTAACAAAATTTCCAATACAATGATTCTATAAAAGTATCGATAGTCTAGGCATTCGAGTATTGGATTTGAGATATTCACCAAGAGCATCCTACCAATTTTTAAGGAAGCGAGTAATCCTTGCCAAAAGGATTTTATAAAAGAGGCATGAGTCATATTTGTCCTTTCTACTGATCACCATGCTTTCATTTCTTGGATTTTGCCTTCCACAAATTGGAAGAATATCATCAAAAGTGAATTTAACTGCTGAAGTGTTGCTTTGCGAATAATAATTATTCATATCATGGACATCAAAATTATCGGTAATTTCTTCTTCAATAGCTTATCCTCATTCATCAACAAGAAGATTTCCTTGTTGAGTTTGGTTTTATTGTGGCCTGTCAGCCATATATAAGGAGGATGTTCTTTTAGAGAATCATCCGAGGGTTCTTCAGGTTTAGAACTGGTTTCATTTGTAATAACTAGGACATGAGGTATGTTAAGGGAATGGTTTTGAGCTTTTTGTAAAAAGGAGGTAATGGGTTTTTATTTTTTATCATCATTTGTGGTCTTTTTTTTTTTAATTTGGTAGAGTTAAAGCTTGTGGATTTGTGAAGTTGTTTAGTTTTCTTTGTATCAGCAAAAGAAAGGGATTTTAACTTCTTCCCCATTCTTCAGGGGTAAAAAGTGAAGTTGTGGATCCAAAAGCTCTAGTTGAATACATTGAACTTGAAGTTTGTGAGATAGGGGTGTATGGAGTGGGATAGTATGGAGTGGAAAATAGGATCATAGAATTGTTTTTAAGAGGAATGACTTAACTTTTGAGACTTCTTATTTTTCTTTCATAGTCAGCTATGAGTAAATGATTTTGTAACAGGGTCATGATTTAGCATAGAGGGTCTCAATTTGTTGTTTACAGGCTAAGAGAAAGGTTAACATTATTTGTTTTTGTTGTTGTAGAGCCCTTTCAATTCTTTGTTGATTTTAATTAATTTTCTTTAACAGGGAATTTTGGTGAATTGCATTTTTTAATCACCGGTTAAAAATCTCTTTAGCTGTTGAAATCTGTTCAACTGAACCATATGATTTTCTGAATATGGGATTCATGATTTTCCATGTGTGAGTAGACTGCTGTTTGTCAAAAGAGGCAAGTGGCAAAAAATCTTCTTGCTAGGGCGGATAAAATATAGCCAAAGGCATAGTTATTTGTGGAGAGGGAGGTGGACTATTATCCCGATCCCATTTTTTATGTAACTGGTTACAATTATCATCATCATCCCAACTAGTAGGAATAATGGGCTCATCATTTGTCGGAGGGTGGAGTATATTTGACATAATAGTCAAATTTTTCAGAAGGTCTCCCTAACAAATCAACTCCTGTAAATTAGTTTTCATAGACATCATGCAACTTTTGTTGGCTACTCTTCTTCTTCTTCTTCTTCTAAGGGGATGATTTTCAAATAAATCCTCTTCACAATCCATACTTTTCGAACGAAAGCATACATCCTAATGAACATGTCCTGAATCATCATATCTGTAATAGATAGGCTTGTTATTTGCATCGAATCCATAGGTAGGAATTTGTCTATTAGAGAAGACAAATTGCGTAGAGAAACAAGGAGGCTTCTTGATTGATGATTTCTTTTTTAACATGATTTCAACTTCACCATTTGATCTTCGTCTGAAATGATGAGTTGATGATTGGATGGGCATAGAATAGCTTGACACGTAGTGATGCTGCTCATAGCTAGTAATCCATGTTTGTGTGATTAACTTAATGAGCTTAGATCTGGGAATTTGTCTGAGGACATATGTACAGCTTAGATGGTCTATTCCCATCTGGTTAAGTAAGGAATAGTCTATATCGTGAGGAGTGGCGAAATCAAGGTAATGATTTTGGATTCTGTAAGTTATCTGGTAATGAAGAGTTGCAACATATGTTACTGTTGTTGGTACTGCTCCAACAATTTGGATCTGGATTTTTAAAGCTGATAATAACGGTGAATCTGCTATTGGCATGTTAAAATTTGGAAACATAGTAACTAGTACAGTTCCCACATTAAGTATAGTTTCAATAGTGGCAATACATGCATGTTGATAATCAATAAATCGTGTATATAGAAGAGCAATTCTAGAAACCATCGAGAGTCTCTTTCTTCCATGGAGAATAAATGTGATCCTTACGGTTCCAAGATGAATATGGATAAAACACTCAGATAACCATACTTTTGACAGATGAATGGTAGATCTAAAGCGACAAACTGCTCTTGTTCAGTGGCAGGTAAAAAATGTTGGTCAAGTTTTGATGTATGGATGTATGCTTTTATTTGGGATTTTTTTGGCAAAATAAGGTTTCGAAAAGTTTTAGTAAAGGAGTGGCGAGGTTTATTATATTGGAGATAAGGATTTATAAGAGGTAAATTTGTGACGAGAACCTTTTCAGAATCGGGAAGATACGATATTTCGTAAAAGAGTCAACTTTAGAAGCATTGGTTTTTCGAAGGGAGGTAGAAGGAGATAATATGGATGAACTAGAAGACTCGACAAACATGATTAACAAGGTGTTCTTCGTAGTTTCTTTCAAACTGAAATAATCTCAATTAGAGATAGTAAGATAACGACAAGAATCTGATACCAATAGAATGGCAGTTTTACACAAGTTTGCCATACACCCACTCTATTTTGTTATTCAATATTTTATTCATCACATCTACTACTACTTAGTACGTCTTCCCTCTCCTTTCTAATTGTTATTCTATTTTTTCACTCCAGACCTCTTGTTTTCACAAAAATTTTCAACATTGGAAGTACAATGATTATTCTTTTTT